AGAGAGAGAGAGAGAGAGAGAGAGAGAGAGAGAGGTGGGCCAAAAAAAAAGTTATATTCGAATACAACAATTTTCTTTTTGTGAAATTCAAATATAATGCGCATGCGTTTTATTCGAAGAAAACGGATATACATTAAGTGCCCTTGTATTCGAAGAAAAGGGTCTAACTTTCCAAAACCGTTTTTTCTTGAAAACTCGAATACAACGCGTATGCGTTATGTTCGGGGGAAGACGGTAGGTCCTTGGGGGAAATAAGCGCGGTTATTCTGGGGTGTGCTATCAGCCATTCACCCATTTCTAGCTCTCCGAGGACGGGCTCCCTGCTGTCGGGTGTGGAGTACGCCCCTCGTATCGTCGACGTGGCAAGTCGGGAGTCACGTGGCGTCTCTGGACCACGTGGTGCTTACTTACCCTCTGGCCCCATTCGTGTGCCTGGATTTGTCGGCCTGGAACTCGTTCTGGACCACGTGGTGCTGAATTACCCTCTGGTCCCAGTCCCGCTCCCGGTGCTGGTGGTCACGGGGGAGTGTGCCAGTCTGCCATGTCATCAAGGCGACGTGGCACTCTTATCATCGGTCCACGTGGCGATCGAGCGCCGGGCGTCTCGCGGTGTGAGGGGGACAGGACAGCACTTAAGTAGCGGGGAGCTGAATGCGGCTCGGTGAATTTCTTTCCCCGCCTTGAAGTACTGAGAGGCAGCGAGGAGGAGGGGAGACACCATGGCGCCCCGGGTGTTCCTGCCCTCACTGCGCGCCATTCTATCCCCTTCGCGGTCTCCAGTTGTCTCCCTACGGTAAGTATCGGGCTCCCAAAAAAAAAGCAGAAAAAAAGAAAAAAAACAATGGTGTTCGAGATCTGTTTGGCTCGTCTTTTTTCATCCTCGATCCCTCTCATCCCTTCCTCGAATCTCAGTCCTGCCCTTCCCTCGGCCGATCGTCCTTTTCTATCCTATCTCTCTCTCTCTCTCTCTGTCTCTCTCTCTCGTTCTCTTTGTATCTGTCTCTTGAGAATCTTTGACGGCATTTACTCGTACGAGTGTCCAAATGTATTTGACTGCAATTACGGCCCGTCCTCGATGCATCTGGCCGCAATCATGTCCAGATTTCAGTCGAAAAAGTCTCAGTGTGAGTATGCCCTGAGTCGTCTTGCGTGCCTTTCTCCCCCTCTCTTCTACGCGCTTCCAATCGGCTCTCCGCCCCCTGTTCTCTCTGTCCGTCTATCTACCCGTGTCCCACTTTCACTATCGCCAGATCATCCTCTCTCTCTCTCTCTCTCTCTCTCTCTCTCTCTCT